GTTTTACAAATAGCCCCCCCCCCCCCAAAAAAAAAAAAAAAAATTAAAAAAATTTCCATTTTTTTTTTCTCCAAAATTTTGTTGATGCCTATTATGCTTTGAATGTTTTAAAAGACGCAATCAGTCTACCTCCATCATTGACCATATTTTATTTTGTATTTTAATTTTAGTTTTCGGTAAATTTCAGTAGATTTCAGTGTTTCAGTATTTCAGTAGTTTAAACACAGCCCTCTGAGGGCCCCGTTATATGCCGGTTGCGCCGGTCTCCTGATTCTTACTAGTAACGCTGGCATCAGGGTTGTACGAATAAGTGGAAGGCGCGATTAGGCCAACTCCTCCCTAGGTAACAAAAAATCACATCATAAAACAGCAAAAAGCGAGTTAATAAATCTCTGAATAGTTCGAGTTGAAGTTCCAGGTTTAACCGCTATGTGTCCTAATCACCAAACGAAATGGGTGCCACGCAATCTCGGACAGGCTGTAATCTGAAAAGTGTCTATCCTTTCCAAGAGCTATCCATCTCGTTGGAAGGGCTAAAAATCTACTTGTTTCTGAGCTTACTTTCATTCCAGGGTCAAATATAATCACTTGAACCATAATAATATTCAACATATTCCATCATATTCCGAGGGCCGCACACAGGATTTTTTTCTGGATTACTTTTCGAGCTTTTTTCCCCAACTCGTTGACCAGTTTTCCTTGAGAAAACCCCAACTTTCGCCCAATTGTCCATGAGAAAACTACATATTCTATCTTACTGCATTGACGGGAAGTGGTAAGCTGGACGTCTGTGAAAAGGGTTGATCGATAAATTTTCAAGGAAGCAATTGTTGTTTTTGTTTGTGAAATAGAGGACTCTAGCCGATGAGGCTACTTTCACCCCGAGAACCTCAGGCAACCAATTTGTTTTATGTACTACTATCGTAATAAAACATTACTATATTAACCACTTCCTGGTGGCTGAAGACTTGCACCGAATGTGTATTCGGAAAAAAAATGTCCCCGAGAAAATGTTTTTTCCGACAATCGATATTCGAGATGTCTTCTGTTGCACAAATTATGCTGCACTGTGTAAGAACTCGCATCCTTTGATCTGAAGATTGTAGATGGAAAAGTATCAATTTCACTATTTCAAAGTAAACCTGCATTTTCGTATATCATCCCGTAATTTGTGATTAATGACAATGACTGTGGAAATAATATGGGTTGAGGAACGGAAGATCTATGTTCGTCACGTGACTGGACAATTCCACCCCGTCCCACCCTGACGATGATCCCTCCCGGAGCGGCGCGGCGCGGCACGCTCTCTAAAAAAAATCTCGGGCACAGTTTACTCTTCTAAGTTTTCCGGTAGCTATTTAGTTAGTATTCTAGTTCTATGGGTAAAGTAAAGCTATATGACGCCATGACGTCATAGTTTTTATGGCGTCATAGTTGGGACCCAAAATGGCGCCTGTAAATGAGTTGTCGTAACTTTCCCTCTATACAGGGCTTTGCCTGTCTCTATATACAAGTCAGAAAAGGAGTGACGTAGGAGCGAGTCTGACGTAATATGTAACAGGCATTGCCTGAGTAGAGCGAAGCTGATTATTGTTAAATATAAAACCTTCATTCATCATTAATTTTCTCAAGTGATACAAAAAATATTAAATACTTTAGTTTTTATTGAGATAAAAATTTTATACATTAATTTTGTTTTTAAAAAAAGAACAAAAAAGTGTGAGAATTATTTTCATTGACGTAAAAAATATGTGACGTCATTGATTAGACGCGTCATAGAAATAGTTCTATGAGGCGCGTAATCTCGCTTGGGCGAGATTTGGTGGATAGAATTATTTTTGTTAGTTACGTGATCTCGCTTGGGCGAGATTTCGTAAGTTGACATGCGCATTGCCTGTTTTGCCCAGTGTATCCGGTTCCGGCTGAATTTTTTTTTAATCAACAGTCTGTGGGTGACATTTTCAATTACGCTCCTGTGTTACCGGAAAAGAGCTTTGCTCAAAGCGCGGTGCTTTAGAGCTTCGCTCTATATTAGAGCAGGTTATCCAGTCTACAGTCCGCCAAACGACTAGCGACGACTGTTGGTCACGTGATACAACGTTGGGGGTAATATGACGTCAAAATTTGGTGACGTATTATGGCGCGCTGTACGAATCATTCCTTTCAGTTGGCCTTCGCAACCATAGATATCCTATAAAGACTAGATAGGCCACAAAGCCAAGTGCGCATCATCAGTAACGTCACAACGCGCCGCCATCTTGAAAGTTGTAGTCTATGTAAACAGGAAGTACTAAGTATTGGGGCATAAGCGTTAGATTTCATGTATTTTGTTTTTTCGCAATGGCTTCAAAAGGACCCCAATGCTATGCAATAAATTGTACCACGTACAAGAATCCACAGAGCCGAGCGGAAGGCGTCACATTTCACAAGTAAGTGTATTATAAGTTATTATTAGCCGACACGGCGACAGAGTATTTCATTGAAGTTGAAGTTTGAAGGAGGACCTCATCATCACACAAACCTGCGGATACACTACAGAGACGTTTATAAAAAAAAAATAAACAATAGGCCTATATCAAGAGAATGGATCCCGGGGCAAGCCGTAAGCGTCCACTGTGCTGTACAGTCCCGGTACTGTAATGATACAGCAAATTAGGCTTCTCTCAAAATGACACAAACTCACAATAAACAAAAGCTGACCGCCAGACGATCAATGATTGATCATGGCTTTCAGTCAGACTTGGATTTTCTTCTTTTTTTTTGTACCAGCAATAATCGAAAATCCTCCATTTTTAGTATAAATGACTCATATAATGATCTGACCATCGCATTTTTTAATAAATAATGAAACAGTAAAGAATTGAGGATCTTGACAGCTGTCGCCGAAGGTGAAATTAATTTTCTTTTTTAATTGTCAGGTTTCCAAGTGCTGAAAAAAATCCAGATCTTTTGCGTGTATGGATTCGCAACTGTAAGAGGATGAAACAACCGTCTAAATACAGCCTTGTGTGCAGTAAGCATTTTGAAGATGCTTGTTTTGACCGAACAGGCCAAATAACTCGCCTGAGAGAAGGAGTAGCCCCCACTATTTTCAATCTGCCTCCTCATTTACAGGTATGACTTTGCTGAAATTGGCTCTCACTCTCTAGATGTTTTATTCCGTGGGTATTATCTGTCATTGTCGATGTGATATTATTTTATTCGCTTTTTATACGCCCACATTTTCAAGTGGACGAATATTGTCGTTGCCCCTGTCTGTCCGTCCACAATTTTTTGGTGGACTCTCTACAGTTCACAATTCTTGTCCGATTTTGACGAAACTTGAAATGTTGGTTTATCCCAGTCCCAAAAGATCTCGACTGTTTTCGATATTGGCATGTAATGTTGTAATTGATTCACTAATGCATGACTTGTTGAATAAGTAATTCATGCCCCTAGATGATTAAATTCCTTACAGTGTATTTCTAGTTTCTATCATATTTTGTGATCAATAAATAAATCATTATTTTACTCTTTTAGCTCAAAACGTCCAAAGTAAGGAGTACCCTGAATTCATGCAATGAAAAGCTTGAAGGAATTGAATCATCTGCTGTTGACCCAAATGATGTAGAGTACTTAGATAAAATTGTAATAAATCAGGTAATTTCCATCTTTCTCTTAAAGGGACAATAACACTCTTGCTGGCTTGAAAGCTCCAGAAAATAAATAATATCTCTATCTAAGTACTAGATGTTTAAGTGTCCTACCTGTTGTCTAAATTATCCATTACATCCTATTTTAATAGTCCAGAGGGTTCGAAAATATTTTTAAATCGGAAGTTTCATAAAAGGTTTACGTTCGACGTTTCAAACCATTATGTTGAATTTTTCAAAATTTTTAAATTAGGTGTGTTAAGATTAAATTTGTATCATCAATTAATTGAAATATTGTAAAATAGTACAATTTGTTGACCAGAATAAAGATTGGGGCATATTATTCAGTTACAACAAGAGTGGTATTGAGCCTTTAATGGTTGTGACCAAGAATTACATGTATGTTATTCATTGTGATTGAATTGATAATCTGTAACATTAATTGTTTCCAGTGTTGTATATTTTAAATTATTCATTTAAACTATCTGCTTGATATTTACTCATAAAAAATGATGATATAAATTATTACATACATGAGATTTTATCACACATGCATAAGGTGAATTATGACCTAATGGTATTTATAGGGATTACACTTTTTGGATAAAGTAGGAATTCCGCTACTGAAAGTGGGTTTGTCCCATAATGGTATTTGAACCCACGTTCATTCCCAGAGTAAGGCCCAAATCATCAGCATAAATTCAATGTCAGTACTCTTCTGGCGAGTTAGCTTTAAGTGATAATGAATTGTGAAAATGTGCATTAAGTTATGCATTACATATATTTCATTACTGGATATTTGTATTAATAGTAACTTCTGTTTGTACATATATCTGTAGGATCATTCATATACCAGTTCCCCAATGAAATGGAAAAGGAAACTGCAGGAAGCGGAGGCAAAGCTTGAAACTGCCAGAAAGAAGTTACATAATTGCCAGAGACGAGAGCAAAGATCAAAACAAACTTGTCAAGTTCTGGTGCATGATCTATATGAAAAGAATATGATCAATATGGAATTACGCTCTAAGCTCGATTCATATGGAGGTATTTATTTTTGCACTTTGGAATAATATCTGTTTACTGAGTCTCAAAGTGTTAATATCACTGTTGTCATGAGGTCTGTTGTTACCTACATGTACTATAGATCCTATTCAATTACTTCAAATGATAGTAAAACATTCAGTCCGACATTCATTTAAAAAAAACAAAACAACATAATCTATTCTTTAACCATATGATTTTTAATGGATTCATCGAATTTTGAGTATAATATTTTTAAATTCTAATCTAATAACAGAAATACCTAATTATGTTCTCAATTCTTATGCACAATATTTTATAATTATTTACTTTGGCAGATATCCCATGTGAGCTTTTCAAGAGACCGTCAAAGGATTACACTAGTGATCAAAGAGATTTTGCCTTGTCTTTACACTTGAGTTCTCCAAAGGCATATGATTACCTTCGTGAAACTGTCAAGATTTGTCTTCCGCACCCAAGATCTCTGAGACGGTAATTTTATTTGAAATTATATATCTGTGATTGTGAACAATTTCTTACCTTACTTTCTCCCTTTCTTGAATGATGGAGAACCTCACCAAATTTAGAATTTTTGGACCAGGAACTGGACCCCAAGCGCTAATCATCTTTTTCTTCTTGTTGTTCTTATGGTGAAGCTCTTCGAAAAAGCCCAAGGCTCCATCAATTCAAGTCAAGTCTGATCGACATGAAAATAGCATGCTTGTTCTTCGAAAAATTACCTCATTGGTTTTCTCCGGGAACTCCAGCTTCCCCCCACTGCTAAAGACCCATACGGGCAAGCGAATTATTGAAATAAAATTAAACCATATGTTAGTCCCAAAATGACCTAGTTTGTGTCGAGTGGACGTTAAACTCTATTTCTCTCTCTCTCTTTGAACAATTCTGCATCGATTTAATGAATTAGATATGACGTCGCAATTCCAAGCTGGTGGTGATGACCTCCTGCTCGGTTTCTGGTCCATATAGTACTATCATAGAAGTTTATTTATTTGTGTGTGTATGTTTTTGAAAATATGCTTTGTCTTTTTTAGTTGGATAGAAAGTGTGGATTCGGCACCAGGATTGAATGTTGCAATGCTGGAGGTACTTAGAAAAAAAAAAAACACAGTCCCCAGATGAATATACAAGGTATGAGATAATTGTTCTTATGCACTAGGCCAAAAATAAAAATATTTTGTTTCTGGTAACCCGACCGACTCATAGTATAATTTTTCATATTGCCTGCATCATCTTTGAAAGCACACAACATAATTATTATGGATCTAGATATGAGTTTTTTTTAAAAAAATAACACCTACCTACCCTACCTATTTTCCATCCGTTACAGGAAATAGAACCCTTTTTTTTGGTCCTATATGTGTAAAACCATTCAATTTCCAGAAACTGTACCGAAACAAGTGATATTTGTTGGTCCACTATTTATTTTTTCAATATTGAGAGAATCCAGGAAAATGGACCTTTTTGGAGCAAGATTGTGAAAAATCTATTTATTTATTTAAAAGTAAAAGAGTATGTAGATATCTTATTTTTGAAACTAAACTCTGAGATATAACTATGGAATACAGTTACTTTGTTTATTTGTGTGTGACCTTTTGTAGAGTATTCTCAAGCAAGTTGTATGTTTAGCTCGGTATTTAGCAATATAATGATAACTTTTTACATTTTTTCAGTTGTTGCCTAATGATTGATGCTATGGCTATCCGTCGCCACATAGATTACAACTGGCATGATGGTACGTATAGTGGCTATGTAGATATGGGTCATGGTGCTGAAAATGGGGAAGCTAAAGAAGCTCTTGTCTTCATGTTAGTTGGACTGAGTGGTGGATGGAAAGCACCCATTGCTTACTTCTTCACCAAGGTCTTGACAGCTGAGACCCAGAAGCAACTGGTTCATCATACCATTGATAAACTGCATGAATTAGGCTTTCAGGTGCATGCATTAACTATGGATGGCCATGCCACCAATGTTTCCATGTGTACTTTGCTTGGTGCTAACTTTGATTTCACAGGAAATAATTTGCAAACATACATTACTACTGGTCTACCACACAAAACGTGCATAATTTTTGACGTCTGCCATATGATAAAACTTTTGAGAAACATGCTTCAGGCCTATGGTGCTTTAGTTACATCTGATGGTAAAGTTTCCTGGCAGTACCTGAGTTTGCTCAATACAGTGCAGGAAGAGGACGGTCTTAGATTGGGTAATAAGATATCATCTCGTCACATCATGTTTTTCAAGCAGAAAATGAAGGTGTCATTAGCTACACAGCTATTCTCTTCATCTGTTGCCAAGGCTCTACGTACCATGAAAGATATTGGTGATAGGAGGTTTGAGGATTGTCTTGCAACTGTAAAGTTTATTGAGGTAAATATATGTAGCTTTTATCCCAATCAGCCTAGATTTACAATAGTAAAGAAAACATATTTTAATTTTGTTTAGAGGATGACAATTAAATATCGAAATTTTTGTATCCATTATTTAGCGTATCGACAGACTGTTTGATATATTGAACAGTAGATCTCCCAGAGGTAAGGGCTACAAAAGCCCCATTAATGCTAGCAACTTGGCTGTTACTGAGTCATTTTTGAAAGATACAGAGGCATTTCTTCTGAACATCACAATGCTCGATGGCCAGCCCCTTTTGACAACTAAAAGGTAGCATAATGAGAGTTGGGCTTTGAAATGTTAGACAGTTAATGTTTCTGTATTAAATTTCTCAAGAGTTGTAATTTGTTTCTGTGCAGGAATGATTTTTTTCTTAAAGATGCATTATGCAAGAGCTAAATCTGCCTATTGCACGTTTTCTTTTGGCTTCAAATGTTATATAAATTATTATTTAGACATTTATTCACATGACATAATCAACCCTTTAGTGCATCGGATGCCCGAGATTAGAGCCATTTAAAAAAATTTAACATTAAAATGGATAGTCTAGATTGTCAAATATCGTTGCTAGGATAATAAACAATCTACGCTCTATCTTGTCAAAACTTCAAACACTTATAACTTAGCTCAGAATAAAGTAATTTGAAATTTTCAATATATTCATTTTTCATTAACTATTTATTTTAACTATTATAGCAAGAACGACCATCCCTTTATTTAAATCTTACATAATGCATCTTTAATTGTTTCTAATGTTTTATTAATTTCTATTTAAAGAATTATTTTTTGTTTAAGACTATTTTCCCATGAAATTTTGATATCACAGTTGTGTGGACATTTAGTCTGATAGGCAAAAAAATGTCTTTAAACTGATAGGTTGATTCTTTATCTGTAAATTTTACTGCCATACCAATTATTACTTGCCTTTAAATTTTTAAAAGACACAAATATCAAACATTATTATTATATGAAATGGATATTGCAGTAATTAGATTTGAATATTTAACCCATTAATTTTCACGTTGATGTATGTTTTAAAATCTATTTTCGTTGCATCTGGATTTGTTCTTCTAATTTATACATGTACTAAAATTATTCAACAGTCTTATTTTTTCTACGTCATGTATTATATTTTGTAATGGATTTGTACTAGATTAACTTTATTTTTTTCTCCCTAGGTCAATGTGTGGGAAAGGTTTAATTATTGCAATTGAATCTACATTGACCATAGCACACCAAGTTCTTGGTAATCAGAAATATCTGCTATGCTACAAATTAAGCCAGGACCACTTAGAATTGTTTTTCAATGCGATCCGGCGGGGTGGTAAGTAAAAAATTGTTGTAATTTTGCTTAAAGGGCATATGGGACCAATATGGAATTCTAATTTGTGTTTTTAATTTCGAATATTATGGATAATAAGTTAAAGGTTTAGCTCCTTTAAAATCAAGGTGCCACAACTCAATTTGTTCATCCAATATTTGATGTACATGTATGTTGTTATTTTTATCAACCAGATCTTGGATGAGGTTATCACCAAATCGGCCTTACAGGGATGTTTAGGACCATCCTATATTTGAAGATAATAATTGAGCTCGTGACTCGCTGTATGTGGCTTATCTTGCATTACATTTTGCTTGAAATTTCTTTCAGGTGGTTGGAATAACAATCCCTCTGCAAAAGTTTTTGAAAGCTCTTTCAAGAGAATCATTACCCATTGTGGTGCTTTGAAGGTGAGGAAAAAATTTTCAAGAGACAGCAATTGGAACTTGGTAGCTGTTGGTTTTCAAATCAATCTTGTTCAAAGTAAAAAATGTTCAGACATTTGTAATAGTGGTTTTGAATGCAGAAAATCTTTCCAGGTGTTTTGTCTCAGATTTAGTTAATATATTGCTACTTTCATCATGTAATTTTGAATGAACAAATTATTCACATGAATAGCAAAACATCATGGAGGTATTAAGAGGTATCAATCTAAATATAAGCACATCCATGCAGTGTGCTGAATACATATTGCCAATTTACAAAACATTTTTTTGTTTTGGGAGTAATTTTTGCCATACATATTTTTAGGTTTCCAAAGAAGGGAATTGTATCGCCCAGGATGACACAAGTCTTGTGCAAGCCAGTACATCGACTTACTTGCCACCAGATGCAGGGAAATCGGAAAATGATGATGATGGTAATGGTGAACTTGACTTGTATGAAGTAGAAGCAAGGAACCTCTTGGACCACAGCTACAGCAAAAACCAACTGTCTTTGGTTACCCTGAATATCATTGTGTACATTTCAGGGTGGATCATCCGTAAGCTTTCAACACAGTTGTCATGTCAAATCTGCAAAGATTCTTTGACTGGGTATCCCTCTGATAACTGTGGTGTCTTCCATCTTTTGAAGAACAAGCAAAATGGTGGACTGTTGACCCCATCACAAAGTCTAGTGTACGTAGTGATGTCTGCAGAAAAGCACTTAAGGAGGATGACAGATGTTTGTCGTGTGAACTCTTCATTAAACTTGTTGCGTCTTCAAACATGTGTTTTAACAGACTGTCTTGCTGTTGATTTATTTGACTCAAACCATGGCTATGAAACTCATGAAGGTGTTGAAAACCATAATTTGTCTTTAATTAGATCAGTTGTCTCAGTTTTCTTCAAACTAAGACAGCATCACATTGTAAAACTGCACAACCTCCACAAGCAATTTGATAACTGCAGACACACTTTAACAAAGTCCATTTTGTTTAAAGGACAATGAGCCTTTATTTTTTATATGGAAAGTAGAGGCACCCAATCTTACTAGAAAACTGGTGTATGTAGTAATGTCTGCAGAAAAGCACTTAAAGATTGGTTCCCGCGTACAAACTGGGTGATTTAATGGTATATATGGACTAAAAACATATTCAAACTAATTAATTTGTCATAATTATGCTTCAAATCCTTCTCAAACATTGTAATTACGAAGGAATGCCCTGCTATTAAAATTCGATCAAACCAGGTTATGTTAACGTCACGTCTTGGAAGTCAGAGGTGAATTCATTGAATACATAAGACGATGTTGTCTTTTATCGCTTACTATTATCGAATCCTAATTAAATTCTCGGATTATCCACTGTTCGCTTGTGACCTTTGACATCACGCATGCAGAAATTCTTAATCATCGGGCTGTTGATTAGGGGAACCCTTACATTTTTATCCTGTATACTCTCCATGAGTGTTTTTCGGGGAATCCAGTATTTTTCTAGTAAGATTGGATATCTCTACCTTCCATATATACCAAAATTGCCATACTTTTATTGGAAATAACCACCCTATAAATAATTTTCTGGGAACCCATCTTTAAGCAGGTTGACAGATGTTTGTCGTGTGAACTCTTCATTAAACTTGTTGCGGCCTCAAACATGTGTTTTAACAGACTGTCTTGCTGTTGATTTATTTGACTCAAACCATGGCTATGAAAATCATGAAGGTGTTGAAAACCATAACTTGTCTTTAATTAGATCAGTTGTCTCGGTTTTCTTCAAACTAAGACAGCATTGGCAACCTCCACAAGCAATTTGATAACTGCAGACACACTTTAACCAAGTCCATTTTGTTTAACTCTTAACTGACCCATGTGGACATTTATAACATTACCATTAAAGTACATATGTCGACTTTTGTCGACATTTCGGTTAGCCAAATGCAGCATTCATAGCTTAATGAGAGTTACTTCCCATATAAACAGACAACCTTCCTTGCTTTGTTTGACATGTTAAAACAGATATTTAAAAATCAGCACTTAACAGTGGTAAAAAAACAGATTTTAAGTTGAAATGAGAGTTGGTTTATTCATCATAACATTATGAGTTATAAGACCCTTTGTTACATGATTACATTAAATAATCAGGCGACGCCTTTATATATACAATGGTGGTGACATCGCAGGATTTTAAAATTTATAGGATTTACAATAAAAGATTGTTAAAACAAAAGTAGATTATTAAAGGAGCCAAGTCTCTAACTCAGTATTATCCATAATCTTCGACATAAGAGACACGAATTAGAATTTAATATTGGTCCATTTCATTCAATATTGATGTTATTATCTTGCCATGAACATAAGGGCTCCTGATATCCAATATTTAAGACACAATGAATGTTTTAAAATCAAAACACGAGTCGTGTACTCTAATGCTCTCAAGTGCCAGTTGTAATGAGGCGTATTGAGTAACGAGGCAAAGCATCAGTGCAGAAAAGAAATATCAAATCTTACTTGTGATGTAGACTGGACTTACCAGGCATGAGCGATTGGCATTCAATTTTCGACGAAAATAACTGATTAGAAGTTACAATTAAAATGTTGAAAATATGAATGTAAAGCAGTTTATATACACTCATATTACATTAATACGTGCTTTATGATCCATTTTAGGTGCCAAAGATTAGAGATTTAGCTCCTTTAAATTTATCCAAATTTAATGATTTACATGATTATTGGTAAAGATGCATTATTTAAGATTTATACAAAGAGCTGGCCATTCTCGCTATAATAGTTTAAAAATAGATAATTTAAAATGAATATATTGAAAATTTCAGTCAAATTACTTTATTCAGGGCGCATTTATGAGCTTTGGAAATGTTGAGAAGAAATAGCATACTTGTAGTCTCGATTGTCGATCAATATATTCCCAAGATAATAAGCGAAGACTCGATTGTCCACCAACCGCTAAGGTGATATTATTATTTAATGGGTGCGGTGTTCTAATCTACATAAAGTCGGAGCCATCCTATGGTCTAGAGAGTTTATTATGGCCTTGTTATGTAAATGTCTAAATAGTAATTTATATTACATTTGAATCCAGAAAAAGACCTGCAATAGGCAGATTTAGCTCTTACATAATGCATCTTTAAATAAAAAATGATTAATCAAATTATATAAAAAATAATATTATATAAATTGTGTTTAAAAAAATGATTATCACAAATTTAAGTAATTTTATAGTTATTGAATCAATCCAGTATTGAAAAGTTCATTTCTGCTAAAAAAAAAAAAAATAAAATCCTCCTTGATTTTTTTCTAAATTACTTCTTCTACCTCCTGGGTTCCAGAAAGTTTGGTTGTTGATTTTGTTTGAGTGACCTGTCTTCATTAGCCCAGTTGGAGCAGAGCAGTAGAACATTAATCCCATTTCATTTCATTTTGTTTGAGTGTTGATCAGGTTTTCTATTTCTATATTGATTGTAGTTGTATCGGGTGGGCTGTGAAGTTTTATTCTCCAATTTAACTTTGTGTTAAAAACAGTTACCAATATATTTATCCATGATCATCATTGAGACATTTTCACAGTATTTTATAGAACGGGCTGAGTAATTATATAGGCCCATTTATTATAAGAACTAGGTTGCACAAGCGTCAGTCTGACACTGTCTGTTGTTACCATGATTTTGATTACTGACCACAAAGCAGAATTATTTCATATGATCGAGAAAATGTATACAAATAATAAAACCCGATTCCAGTGTCACATTTCACCGCTGGTAACCGCCTGTACTAAGACACAAATATTATGAATCATCAACAGTACCACGGCCACTTTTCCTTGTTTACGTTAGGCCTACAATAGTCCAATACAATGACGAGTGTGGATCGAAGAAACTAAACCTCGGCTAGACCCCTTGGTTACGGCCAAATGATAGCTGTAAGGGGCTAAATTACAATTTAACGGCCTACACTAAGCCCGAGAACGCCCGTGGCATTGTAAATAAATGAACATGCGGTTATGTTATGCACTCGGTGTTTTGACAGACTACAACCAACGTAGCAACTTCCAATATGGCGACTCTATTCTACCGGAAGTCAGCAGCTTATTGCCTATCTAGTCTTTATAGGATATCTATGTTCGCAACTCACTGTGTACAGACGTGTTTTCTTGGAGTCTTGGGAACATGGCTCAAGCGTCCTGTAATATGCCTTCACTGGTAAGGAATTAATTGTATTGTAATAGGTTGTTTAACCTGTGCCTGTTGGGGAGCCTAATTAAGCTTCTTGTGATTTATAATAATAATTTCGGTGTTTACCGACATTATTAGGCCTACCGTGCCTTTGACTTTGTTTGTCTTTTGACCTCAAAGTCTAACTGTGAATTGACGTTTGGTTTTGACTCCATACATTTACACACCTATCTTGCCCTTTTTAGCCAAGGTGTTTTGCAATATTAACATATAGAACATTGTGATATAATTGATTAACCAGCTTTGCCTGTAGAACCTAAAGTGGTTTTACAACCAGTCATTGGTACTACAAAACCTGGTGTTTCGAACCGAATCTGGTGCGTGCCTGAATGATCTGGGTGCCTGGAACCGAATCTGGTGTTTTGAACCTAATCCGGTGCACAAGATATAAACCTGATTATTAATGTTACATAAGATATTGCGATTATTATTAGCAGCAAGGTTTCTAGTGGAAATGCTGCAGGGATTTGGGGAGCGTAAATAAGGTGGTCTGGAACCGAATTTGGGCACTAAAGGGGGATAACTCCTCTTGGGCTTGATATTTTTATTTACAAGAAAACCGTACCAATCCAGAAGTTCCTGAATCGTGTATCGCATACACCAAGTATCCTGATATATTCACAACTTTAAAAAACTAAGTACCGGTACTAATAATTATTCTCAACGTGGAACTAGTAAAACTTTTAACTTCAATGTACATTTTTAAATATTAAATATTAGATTATTATATATTGTTTTAATTATTATATATATTTATGTAATAAAGTTTGTGTTGTTCTTAATTGAAGTACTCTGTTATCTGTTCGTGTTATCTGGTCTTCACGTACACCTACAGAACGCCCGCAAATACGTTGGTTGCCAGCCGGAGGGTTGGTCGCGCAACAATTCATATCTGTATATTTCAGAACATAAATGATTTACCAGTGATAAAAAAGAGGCGAAGAGCATGTTCACTTCCAGTATGCGGATTATTGTGTGTAAGTAGTACATGCGGCATTTAAGTCAGGTTATGAGAAACAAACAATAAATTCCCCCCTGGGGTGTAGTGGGTGATAAGAATATACCCTTCGTATGTCCTGCGTGTCGTAAAAGGCGACGAAAAGAATCCCTGTAATGGGGCAACGTGTTTGGCGTGCGTTGCAACTCGTGTCGGTGGAGATTGGAATCCTGGTAATTGAGCGAACCCTTTCTTTGCAAACACATTACTTTGGCCCATGGTTCGCCTAGACGGGAGGTCAGAGTGACCGGCCCACTCTGATCAATCGGCTTTGGTCCTTTTGTTCATTAGAAGGTGTTAATTTTGTCTTTTTCTTGCTTCGTTTTATACCCAGCAGAATAGCCTTTGTATCCTAGTCGCCATCTTAAAGAGCACGGCTTGTGTCAATCAAGTTAGATTTATTTCAATATATTTCCGACTTGAGTATACCTCTTGTCTATCCCTGAGGCCACGCGCAGGATTTCCGTGCTAGTCCTCCCCGTGGTAGGCAGGGAAGTAACCTGGGGGACGATATGGATCCCCCATCCAACTCTCAACCTAATTTAAAAAGACCAACCAAGATCCGCAGATTCATGTAGCTCATCTAAAAATTTAAGAACATGGCCGAGGTTCCTCTTGGAAAGAGTACCTCTGAAGTTGATTTGTCGAAGATTTCGCCATTTGCCATTTGGAAAGAGCACCTCTGAAGTTGATTTGTCGAAGATTTCGCCATTTGCCATTTCAAAAGGCATCGCCGGTCTGGCTGGTGAGCCGAAATCTGTTAAAAATTTGAGAAATGGAACACTTTTAGTAGAATGTGCCAAAGAAAAGCATTCTGATTTACTTTTAAAATCTGAATCCTTGGCTAACATTTCCATCAAAGTGACACCACACAAATCATTAAACCCTTCAAGAGGTGTTATTCGCTGTCGGGACCTTGAAGGCAGCAGTGAGGCGGAAATGGTTGATAATCTATCGTCACAAGGCGTTACACACATTAAAAGACGTAACGATGTGGTTATCCCAACAAGTACAGATCCTCACTTTCGATCGTGCGAATTGCCGAAATGTATCAAAGCAGGGGTATTTAAATATACCTGTTGATCCATATATCTCCAATCCACTTAGATGTTTTAACTGCCAAAAGTTTGGACACAGTAAAAATATATGTAAGGGTAAATCTACCTGCGCTCGTTGTGGCCTTTCCGGGCATGATAGCGCTACTTTTCCTGTGTAAATTGTAAAGGAAAGCACTGTGCGTATTCTCGTGAGTGCCCAGTTTGGCAAAAGGAGAAACGGATCCAACAGGTTATATCTGAACGGAAAATTTCTTATTTCGATGCTAAGAAACAAGTGGAACTTACATCACTGTTCTCAACCACGCAAGTCGGTAAGTCGTTTTCTAGTGTCGTAAAAGTATCCACCAGAACCATATCCGTTCAGACAAGATTATACATAGCCCGATAAACCAAAGATCAGCATATACATAAAGCTTCCTCGAGCTCCTCTCAAACATTATAGAGAGCTCGATCATCAATTCTTCATCTGCGACTTCCTCTCACTATTCGTCTTCTTCTACGGAGAAGGCGAATACTGATAAACACCACTCTGGTAAATTCCATTATTCAATGAATTGTCGTGGTTTAAAACCAAATTTTAATGAAGTCCAATTATTAATTCAAAAATACAATCAACTTTTTTACGGAATTCTGACACTTTGTCTTTTAGACATTTTGTTGGTTACCATCATGTAGTT